GAACTTTCTTCTCCATCTGAAAACAAGTTGCATTCACTTACTATAGCATTTTAGGTTAGAATTAGGCTTTTATTTTCAATCTAATTGAGGCATTTTTAGTCTCCACAAAGCTGGAGATACAACTGAGTAATTCAGAGGCACTAGAACAGCAGATATTCTTCCAGCTTAAATGAGATGTACGTATTCTATGTGGTGATACAAACCCCAGACTAGCTTCTCATTATACCATGTTTTTGTGGAACATCTTCCTTTTCCACTTCAAAAATGCTAATGACAACTAGGTAAAATTCTGAAAGTGGCAAAAATGGTTTAACACAATAGTTACATAAGATATCAGCCAGGGACAAATAACATGTAAACAGCATCTTGCATCTGTTTAAGAACAAAGAAGAAGGACTGTGTGAATACTCGGATTTGCTCTCTATACAGAGTTGGACAAAATAATGCTGGGATACCATTACGTCTTCTGTCTGAGTCTGAGTAATAGCAGCATATAATTCTTTTCTCTTCTTGCTTCATCTGTCAAACCTCATTAAAATATTTGGAAAGTTGTTATTTTCTCTACGGTGAAAATTTTTAAAGTGTGTTTTGAATTATTTCTCATCACTTATCTTTGGAAACAGAATATTGCATTTCCCAAATCAACCCCGTAGTCTCTGCTGGAGGTAAGATGCAATGTTCATTAAAAAAAACACACCATCATAAGCATTATGAAAATTAAATGTTTGTCCTAACAAGCAGTTTTCTAATAACTAATGGATTTTAATCCTGGGAAATGCAGAAAGGCTATTTCACTTTTTGGCACCTGCCAATAATACTAATGATGGTAACAGTTTTGTACTAATAACAGACCTGAAAGTTTTATGATAATAATTAAACCATATTGGGTTTTAGGCCTTGTCTGGTAGTGGACTTATTTTAGCTTGATTTTAGTTGTATTTGCAGACATAATGTGAGGAACTTTTGTAGTTTCCTGCTCAAATAAAATCAAAAGGTATTGTCAGGTAGTTGTCATGCAACAGAACAAGCCTGAGAACTTAAAGCACTGCCTGCAAGGCTAGGGCTTTCCATGAGTAAGTATCCATGTACCTGTCTCACCTAAACCACTTCAAAGATAAAAATACATACATGCAGAGTTATGGCTCCATGCACCTACTTCAGAAAAAGTCTGATGTGGACAAAACCGAGGAAACTACATATTTACTAGGATTATTATTCATGAGCAACAAAAATAACGATGCCCTCTCTACTGCAGCATTTTACTTGCTGTTGACTGTAACTAGAAGGTTCATGGGTCATAGCTGGAGTTCCCACACCCTGGTCTGTAACAGGCTCTCCACACTGCTCCAGCTCTCCCTTACATCTGCTGGGCTGTGGCTGAAGGAAGAACGGATAAGCACCATGTCGTGAAAAAAACAGGCTGACAACATCAGACTTAATGGATCATAGCTTTATTTTTCAGACAAAGATATTTCAGTACAGCTCTCTGCAAGTTTATTGAAATTAAAGCACTATTTGCTCTGCCCTGTTTTTCAGAACCTTGTATTTGCTATCTTTAAATACATAAAAAACAAATTTCAATTCAGTGGGAAAAGTTGTTTCATACATTTTACATTCTAAAACAACTATGCTGAAGAAACTGTGTTGATTCCTTTTTACATAGTTGTCTAGCCACAAAAGATAAAGATGAGATACTCAGGAAAAAGGTTGAATAAAAGATTGAAATCTGACCCTGAAAAAGACTGTCAAAAATTGTTAGGCTTGAATTTAATGTTGTCTTACTTGTTATATGACACATCCCACATATAAAATCCATATACACAGAAATAGCTTTATGCAAAATGTGTGGCAGTGCTTATGCAAGGGAGGTTCTCTAAAGGTGTTTTATGTCCTTAAAAGTAAAACTCAGTCCCATGTTCCAGTCTGGAACTGTAAGAAATACAGCCATCAATTATTTTACCCAGGTAATTTCCAAAACTTTCTTGAAGATAAGGACTTCATGTACTGAGCCAAATTACTGCCATCCTGGAGAGTACACAGATGATTGTTTAATATTATGTGCCACCAGATGAGAATCCTATTTCAAATCTTAATGAATAAATACTTTCTTGAAACTTCTCATAGCTTTTTCTGCCTTTAAATCAAATTACTCACAGACAGTCCCAGACACCTGCAAAATCTACAGCCATGAGGGAGAAGAAAGTCCAAAATTAACTTTTAAAACATTAACATATTTTTTTTACAGAAACATTTCCAAGAACAAGCAGCTCCAGGGCATGCTCAGTTTGGATTCCACCACAGAAATAAAGACATCTTATGATCTTATGTATCCTCAGAGAAGATACAGGAAATTTGAGGTTGCAAGGATGGACACTTTATACCTTTATACAAAGATGAAAGTGCAACATGAGTTCCCCTCTCAGTCTTCTCCTCTCTAGACTAAACAGGCCCAGATCCCACAGTCTCTCCAGACCCCTAATCATCCTTGTGGTCCTCCGCTGGACCTTCTCCTGCAGTTCCTTGTCTCTCTTGTACAGGGAAGCCCAGAACCGGACACAGTACTCCAGATGTAGCCTCACCAGGGTCGAGTAGAGGGGGTGGATCATCTCCTTTGACCTGCTGTCCACACTCCTAAGGCACCCCAGGATACTATAGGCCCTCCTGTCTGCAAGGGCACACTGACAGCTCATAGTCAATTTATCCGCCAGTACTGCCAGGTCTGTCTTAGCTGAACTGCTCAGGTCAGCCCTCAACCTGTACTGGTACTTGGGGAGGAGCAACCCCAGAGGATTATTCCTCAGAGGTGCAGCCAGACCCATAGCAGGCTGAAAAGCAACCCCCACCCCGGCTCACTCCTGTGGGCACATAAGGGGCCTTACAGAATCATAGAATCAGCTAGATTGGAAAAGGCGTTTAAGCTCATCAAGTCCAACCATTACCCCAGGACTGCCAAGTCCACCACTAAACTGTATCATTGAGAGCATCTATACGGTTTTTGAACACTTCCAGGGATGGTGATTCCACCAGTGCCCTGGGCAGCCTGTTCCAATGCCTGATCACCCTGTGAAAAGAGTTTTCCTAATATCCAGTCTAAACCTCCCATGTCACAGCTTGAGGCCATTAGCTCTTGTCTTACTGCTTCTTACCTGGGAGAAGAGACCAACCTACACCTCAACACAACCTCCTTTCAGGCAGTTGTAAAGAGCAATCAGGTCTCTGAGCCTTCTCTTCTCCACACTAAACATTCCAGTTCCCTCAGCCGTTCTTCATCAGACTCGTGCTCCAGGCCCTTCACCAGCTTTGCTGCCCTTTTTTGGACCCGCTCCAGCACCGCAATGTTTTGCCAGGGGAGGCACGGCCGCACACGGCCGGAGCCCCAGCAGCCCCCCCCCGGTGACATCGAGGACCCCGCGGGTCCGTACCGTGTCGTACGCGTGGTTCTGCCCCCGCCCCCTCCGCCTGTGGTCTCTCTTCAACGCTTATTGGGCGCTCGGGGCCCGGCGGCGGGAGCGTTCTGACCGCCCGGCTGTTGGCGTGCGGTTGCCGCGGCAACCAGGGGCGGTGGAGGTGCGCTCCCGTCCCGCCGCTGCGGCCGGGAGGTGAGGGGGAGAGCGGGGCCGCGGAGGCTGTGGGGTGATTTCCTCTGGGACGGGCCTCGGGAGCGTCCTGGCTCCTGCCACTCCTCCCTCTCTGCTTACGGGTGGGGAGGTCGGAGCAGTCTTCACGCTGGGTGGCGGCTGGTCCCTGTCGTCGTTGGGCCTCTGCTGGGTGCGGTGCGGGGGGGGGGCAGGGATGACAGTGCGACACATCCCCCCACCCCTCCCCTCCCCCCTCCACTGTGGGAGCTGGGGGGGGTGGAGGGAGACGGGCTTCACGCAAAGAGCACCGCTTGCAGGCAGGCTTTGTCTCTGCTGCTATTGCTTGGGTTGGAAAAGGGAATGAGAAAGGGCATTGAGAGAGATTTTTATTTAAAAAGCAAGGAAAAAAACACACATTTAGTTAAGAAAAAGAACACACCCAAACCAAGCCAAACAAGCAAAAACCTTTTCAGCTTTCCCCCTTCCCTCACCTTAAAAAAATAGCATGGATAAGGGAGGGGGGACTACTGAGCTTCCATCTGGCATAGTAAGTAAGGAACTTTCTTCTGTCTTCATAGTTTAAATCTTTGCTTTTCCTCAAATTCTCATAAACGTAGTACTGGCAAGGAGGATTCTCCATGCCTTGGTTTATGTGGCTGCATGAGGTTTAGTGTTGGGATGGTTTTTGCTGCGTCCTCGGTTGCTTTTATACACTGATGAGGAAGGGGGGCTGGGTATTATGTCTTGGCTACAATATAACACACATACTGGGTAAAAAGGCGGCTTTTTTATTTTGAGTTGTTAAATTGTATTTGTGAGGATATTTTTATCCTTAGACCGATTTTATCCCCAGACCGATTTTGTCCCCATGCAGTTCCAACATGTGAATCAGGGGAAGCTCACTTGGAACAGTGGCCACAGTTTAAAAAGGGGGGAAAAAAAAACAAAAAACCCTGGCATTGTGAGAGCCTCTACAGTATTGCTTCAGTGTGGGTTTTTTTTTCACTGTACATAACTTTTTTTTTGCTTCATTTTTTTCACTGTGAATAACAAATGCGTGAGCAATTTTGTGCATAACAAAAGGGTTGTGCAGCTGTATAAAGAGTTTTGTAGCTTTATACCACTTCTCAAAGCCTGTAAAACCTGCTATACAGAGTGATTTGCTTTCTAACCAATAATTAGGTTATGAGCTGCCATTAATTAGTTATTTATGTGTGAGAATGTGGACCATTTTGCTCAGATTTCTATATCAAAAAGATGAAGACTAGGGTACAACCTACTTAAACACACTGAAGCAGCAGGTGAAATACAAGAAGCTTGGAAAAAATGGCAGCAAAAAATGGATAGGGTCTTACAAGTCTTTGGACTACATATAAATGTGTCACTAAGCAAAAAGGGAACTGGTGAGGAAACATCAGATTTGAAGTATACAGAAGCTTTGCTGAAGATCTGGGGTACAAGTATAACATTTTCCTTTTTCATTTTTAAGGCGTTTTATAAAGCTACCTACAAGAGCACATGGAATACACTATTAAAAGCAGTGCTAGAGCAGTTTGGCCTACTAAGAAATCATGGTTCAACTGACAGTGGACCTAATTGCTAGAAGCATCAGTCATAAGAATCGCAGTGAAGAGGACTTTGGGCAGTACCTGCGAAAAATAACTCATCTGAATTTATCAGCTAAAAATATAGATGCAATTGTAAGATTTATTTTTCTTTGTTCCTTTTAACCTGCCTATTCATATGTTTTGTAGTTACTGATACAATGAATTGTCTATAGTTGGGGAGACAAGTAAAGCAAGTTTCTATTTTACGACAGGTATATTACAGTTAAACATTTATATTGTCTTGTAACGAAGCCTTAATCATGCATCTGTTTGGAAACATGCTTTAGTGTTCAGTGCTGTTATTGTGTGGAACACTGCTTGTACATAACAGTGTTTAAATAGGTTTTAAATATGTGGCCTTTGAAACGTGAAAATAACCTTTCAGCTGTAACTTTTCATATAAAACATCAAAACAGGTGACTGTAGCTCCAACAGTCTGCAGCATTTGTTATTATTGACCTGACACTTTTTTCTTTATGTGGAAAAAATCTTGTTAAATTATTTTACTTATCTCAAACTGTGGAAACATATATCATCTGTATAGCAGACAAGAAGGGTATTATCAGTACCCTATTTTTGCCATTAGCTAAAGAGAAAATCCATATAAGTAGTTACACAAGGGAGATTAAGTATTTTTTTTTTCAGTATTTCACAGTTCTATAACAGAAATTTGCAGCTCTTAAAAATAAAATACCAAAACAATTTGCTATTTTATTTTGTACAGTTGCTACATTATAAAGGGCCTTTCAGGAAGTCACCAGAATGGAAATAACTCCACTTGCTTACCTCTTTAGCCACTTCAGAAAAAGAGTATTTCAAATTAATCATTTAGCCCTGACACTTTTCCTATACAATATACTCAGGCTGTTGCCATTGAATCAGTAGGTGCAGGGCTTTGACAGCAGTGCTTTAGCCCTGTTGAAATCTAGCTCCATTGTTCTTGGAGACTTTAGGTCTGAGGTTAAAACCAAAGTTCATATTTTCAGCAGGTTTGTTGTTTGTTTTGTTTTTTTTTAATTTAAATATTTGTATTTCTTAATGGTTACCTTTATAAAAATGCAAACTCTGGAATAGAAGAAGATGTAATGAATGAGAAATTTTGCAGATCAGGTTGAATTTTTCTTCAAGGAAGTAGTATTGCTGAACATACAATTAAGTGTAACACTTACTTTAGTCTCATTAATGCTATATTTTTTTTAGTCTTGAGACTTCGTACAAAGAGTTGTTAACTCACAGCACAATCTTTTCAATCTATCTGTGATTTATTCCTTAGATTTCAGAGGAAGTCTGAGAAAGGAAAGGGGAGTTCAAGAACAGGATATAAGCCAAGTGAGGTTAACAGATTTGGACTGGTGTGGTGGCTTTTTCAAATTAGTAGGGTTAAAATCTACTTTTTTTTTTTATAAATTCCTCCCTGGGGCTTATTCATTTAAAAAATAATCCATGACCTTTCCATTTTCAAAGACTAAACCTGCAAGCCTAACCCAGTCCTTCTTCCTTTGAGTTTAATAATAGGAAATTTAGACAGGTTTCAGTAAGTCCTGCGTTAATTCAAATCCCCTGAAGATACTGAGCACATTCTGAAATTGATGAACCCTGAACAACTGAATTGTTGTGTATGGTGGATTTCTGCTTTAAAAGTGTGATTTCAGTCAAGAGAAAATAGCTTGTTCTATGTGAACAGAGCCATGCAAGGAAATGGGTTTATTCAGCCCACTCCTAGGACTGTGCACAGCCAGCTACACTAACTTTTCTGAAAATCCACCTCATGAAGGCAAACATGTACATAACTGTGATGGTGTCTGTAGTCCTCAGCTTCTGTACACCAGAATAGTAATGATGGATGTCAATCTGATGATTACTGGCACTTAACAGCCTTTCTAGGAATAACAGTTGCTAAAAGTGTTTGTTAAAGGTGAAAAATGTATAAACCATGAAGCAGAACATAAATATAAAACCAATAAACAGCTTCCAGAAGCAGGCAGTGAGTGAAATCTTACATAGCATTAAATTGTTATTCTTTATTTCAGGGTGACCTCTCTTCATGCAAAAATCTTAGAGTTCTATATTTATATGATAACCAAATCAGTCAAATTCAGAACTTGGACTTTGCTTCAAATATAACGCACCTTTACCTTCAGAACAATTGTATTTCTTGTATGGAAAATCTCTCATCACTGAAAAAACTTGAAAAGCTGTAAGTTGAAACTAATGTATTTATTTCACTAGTGAAATAATAATTATTACACTAAGAAATTAAATACTATGTAGCCATTAAGGTCCTTTGAGCTCTTAAATTTTGCTTTTCAAATTAAAGTTATTGCTTTTTTTTTTTTAATATTCTATGATGTAAGTAATAACATAACATAGTTATTTACATCTAAATTATTTTCATTTTTCAGCCGTTTAATAATAATTATTATTATAAAAATAATAATAGCTATAAAGTAGCTAAAACCCCTTGGATCTGTTTGTTAGCTGTATGCTGTACTCACATGCTAGGTCATTTAATTTTTCTATTATAATTCCAAGGTATTATTCAATAATACTTAAATATCTTTTTAACATATTGAGGCCTTGTGTTTGCTTTTACTGTCAAAGGCTATTAAATCTATTTTGTGTTCTATTCTGCAGGTATTTGGGGGGCAACTACATCACTGTAGTAGAAGGTCTGGATAAAATAGAAGAAATAAGGGAGCTACATATTGAAAGTCAGCATCTCCCCCATAGTGAAAAGCTTCTGTTTGATCCAAGATCTCTTAGGTCCCTGGCAGTAAGTACATTCTGAGAATTTCAGTGAGCCGTTAATCGGTAGTTCAGTCTTTTTAAAGTGATTAAGGCTTGATCACCGTGCGGTTTCCTTTTCTGCCGATTGGTGGCATTCTTTCAAGGGATTCCCATTCCAATTTTTAAATAAGCAAGGAGCCCAACAGATTCTACTTCTTCATTTACTTTTCTATCGAGGATGGAATTGAGAATAAAGAGAGAGAGGAAGTAAGGAAATGTGTGAATGCCATATACCTATATAACATAATGTCAATAAAAAGGGGTAGGAATTTATCACTGCTAGTTATCTCAGTCTACTTAATTTTTAGTCAGTTTGTTGTTATTTACTTCCTTTTGTATTTCTCTAGAGAGTACAATAACAAAAAAAGAGGTGTAAACAGGTTTTTTTCTGGATATTAACAGCAACACAATCAAAAATATTCAGTTTTAGTTGTGCAATTTTTCTATGTTGTGTTATAGCAAGGCTTCAGGAAAGCCAACTTCTGAAGTTCTTTCAACACATTAAACATCAACTATTATCCTTGAAGTGGTTAAAAAAACAGACTTTACTTATAAATGGATGTTGTTCTATACTAAAAATATTCATCTTGCTGTATCTCCCAAAGTGTAGTCAGGGTTTGATGAGGGTTTTTATTTTTTTTTTGTGAAGATGAAGCACTCACTGAAAAGTGAGTCCCTCTGTTCATGCGTGTGTCATAAACATTTGATCCAGCTCTAATTCTTTCTGTTTTGAGATTAAGTAATCCAAGACGTGTATTGCCATTTTCTTTTAATAGAAACAAGTCATTCCTGTGAGAGCACTTTTATTTCGTTCCTTCTATATTATGAAAGTAGAGGGAGATTATAGAGCTAATATTTTCCTAGGATAATAAATCAGATACTTCAGTGTTTTTCAGCATCCTGGCCTAGAATCACTAGCATTTATTTCTTCATGGCTTTTGTTTAAGGTCTTTTGGTGTGGGTTTGATTTTTGTTTTGAAATAAGCACTTTGCATTCTTGACCACATAACATCTTTGTGAAAGCTACGTGTAAAAACATTCTATTTTTATCCTTCAAGTGCTAAGTGTTTGGTCCATCTTTAAGACATCACTTCTTACTTCATCATCTTCTGTTTCTGGCTCTTAATGGTATCAGAGATGAAGGAGCCAAAAATGTGGGGCCATATAATTCTCTGTGTACTAGAAGCAAATGTTTGGATGATGACAATATAATGAATCTTTTGACTGAGGAGTTTAAGTTTATGCACTGTGCATATCAGGATGATTCTGGTAACCTCTTCCTGCAATGTAGACCTTGGTCAGATTTTTGAACGGGTTCCATTTCCTATATACACTGCTGAAAAGGACATTTTGTAACTAATGATAAATCCCATATGTGGTATAATTTTAAACTCACTTGAATAGGTGTCAGTTTTAATCTTCTAGCGATAGAAGCTTCTTGTTTTTTTCAAGTGAAAATATATTAAGTACTACCTGAAACCCATTTATGTTTTATCTAGAATGTAAAGAACTCTCTAGCTATTATCTGTTACAAAGTGCATTATGTGACTCACTAGTGTTCCAAAGAAGGAACAAGGAACAGATGTATGTATACCCAGAGGTTATTAAGATCAAGCCTGAAAGGAAAACAGCGTAGGCAAGCCATTAAACAAGATGAGATAGGCATCAGACATGGATTTCAGCTTTATGTGGTTCAGATGTAACCTTGGTAAAAGCAGTCAATTTCTGTGTCTGTTTCATACTTCAAATATAGAGCTAGTAGCATTCACAGAACTGTAAAGCATTTGAATATATTTAGAGAAAAATAAAAATTCTGTATTCACTAAGAATTCCTGAAGTAATTGAGAAATAATCTTGTCTTGGTTTGACTCCAAAATAAACAGTGTTTTAGGACAATATGGAAAGCCTACATAAAACAATGTGTGAGATATGTGGTGGTTGTGTATTTGCATGTTTCTGCTTCATATGCTTGTCCTTGCTCTAAGAGAATTTTCTGTATGAATTTATAACTTCACTCATGCATGGCATGACAAAAAATATTTTCTTTTTCTGCTTTTCTTCCTCCAGAAATCTTTGTCTGTGTTGAATATCAGCAATAACAACATTGATGAATTAGATGACCTGGCAGTTTTGGAAAATCTTTCTTATCTTAGAGCAGTTGACAATCAACTTCGACATATCAAGGTATTAAATATTTGTTCTGTTTAGTATGGGTGATATAAATTTCTGCTAAGGAAAGACATGTCTTCATAAGCAGAAACTCAAACTTCCACAGTCACAGCTAAACCAACTGAAACAAAAGTATTTTCGCTCTTTCTTTTGCAGTAGTATATGTGATTCGAACAGAATATTCTACACTTAAAATTTCCAGCTAATCTTCTCAAAAAGGAACAGGAGAATTGGCCTTGTCTTTTCTCATTATCTTTATAAGTTAATATGTCTTCTACTTCTTGACATGAAGAACACTTAAAAAATAATTCTAGTGTCATGCCAGTAACTGAATATCAAATTTCTGTTGAACATTATCTGTCACCATCATTGCATGGTAGAGGCATGGAACAAACTTTATAAATAACTTAATAAACACTGTTTTCACTTCATAAACCATAGACACGAGTGTTCTGCTTTTTATTAAATTTATATTTTTATTAATAAATGCTAAAATGATTTGGCTTAAATAATAACCCAAACCACCAAGAAAAAAACATGATTAAATAATTAATGGTTTGCATTACTGGTTTGCATATGCATTCTATTTCCTTAGAAAGGTTAACTTTTAATGGTTAGTAATTATTAAAATAACTATTCTTATTACTTCTTACAACACCTAATAAATTTGTCAGTTCTGTTTATTGATGAGGAGATTTCAGTATTTTATTGCATAATTTATCAGCTCTCTAGGTCAATGTAATTTATTTGGACTCTTAATTTGTTGCATTTTATTATTTTAAAATGTTGAACAATGCATTTCTTTTTTACAAGAGGATTATTAATGTATTGCATTTCAAGCTGTGTTTCTGGCTGGCAGTTGTGATTGAATTCATATTGAAATAGAATTCATGTAGGCTTTGGATGGGTAATTAAAGCCATATTGAATGTGTTAGTTACATACAAAATAACAGTAAGCTTTCTTAAATAGGTCGTGTCTGTGAAGCTTTCCTTTTGAAAAGGATTTCTTTTCTAAATAAAATGCATTACCACATTTTTTTACAGATCTTTTTATTGTATTTTTTTGTTTCTTATAAATACAAAATATTCCAATTGTGATGATCTTAGAAGATGGTCTTAGCCAAAGAACCAACTATTTTTAAGAATAAGGATGCCAGTTCAGAGATTGTTTTCAGTGTCTCAGAGGGAAAAACAGTATCTTCTGACATAGAACAAGGAGAGAACAAAAAGACTGCATTATTCAGAAGCTGTGTATATATTATTTAATCGTTATTAAATTTCATTATTTAATCATCAGGAAGACCAGAGTTCATATTTATCCAAATCAGTCAGACATTTACATTTCCATGTTACGCAGTCACAGCTTTTGAAAAATTACATGGTTAGCATTTGAGTTTGCTGCTGCTGGCAGTTACACTTGGATTAAGCTCTGGTAAATTTAGAAAATCTTTTCTAAACAATCTCCAAGTTTTGCAAATATGGAGCAGATTGGGTATTTCTCTTCATATCTTTGCAGACCCGTAAAATGAATGACCATATTCAATATGCCTAACATTAATGCAGCTGCAGTCTGACAGCAGTGCAGCTGGATATCCAACTTTACAGATACAATTACTGAGGTTTAGAGATTACATTTTAGTAGGCTCTACTTATCACTAATATAAGTTCTTATTTAAATTAAAAACGCCAACCCCACACTACTGAAAAAGAAAAATATTTTTTAAAAAGGCAGTTTAAGCTCTGTTTAAAAGGCTTTAACTCAGAGTGACCATCTAGCAGAACAATCTTATATATCCACTAAAACTGTTTAAAAATAAACATAGCTGAGGGAAGCATTAAGTATGTTTCAACTTTTTTGCAACCCTGCACTTCATGTTTCCATGGCTGACATTATTCTAAATTGTGATAGCTGAAAGGATTTTAGTATACATGGTACTACATATAGTTAATCACTTCTGCTGGCTGAAATTGTTACAAACAGCAAAGGCTTTTTCATTCCCACACAAGCTGCCTCCATTCTCCTCCTTCTTGCCCCTCTGTATTCAAAACTCTTAGGTATACCTCTTTTCACACCACTCTATGTCCCCTGTCTTCCTATTCCCGCTTCCCCATCACTGCCATCAAGAACATCCCCAGGAATGCCTGGCATTGATCAGAGACAGTAGCAATGCAGTATGACAGAAGTGTCAGAGAGCTATGTACCCAGCTCTGCTTCACCACATGGGAAGAGAAGCTGTAGAGGAGCCATGCATGGCTGAGCAGGGCTGGTCAACAGCAGCGAGCTGTGTAGCAGAGATGGATGGCAACAGGAATAACACAGAATCTTTGCAAAAGAGGGAAATGTGAAAGGCATAAGAAATGCATGAAATACAATCTTCTTGTGTAGACTTTTCTCACTTTTAAAGAATTGGTGAATTATCATATATCTAAACATTTAGCTGAGTTTTTTCACATTACTAGGAAAACCCATACTCCTTCACTTGTCAACAAGGCCATGTTGATCTCAATGTAATTGAAAATCTGGGCTAGGAAATTCAAGCACTTGAAGTTCTGGCTAATTCAGGGCACTGTTAGCAAAATTAATAGACATCAAGGCATATGACCTTGTTTCACATGACTGAATTTATATGTAGACAGAACAAAATGAAGTCATTTTTCTCAGTTCGTGCAGACTAACTTAATAGGACTAGCTACCACATGTAGAAAGCATGTCTTGGCTCACTTACCAAGAATATAATTGATTTTAATAGAATTGTTTTTTCTTTGGTTTTTATTGCTTGCTACTTTATTTATTTATCATATCAAGCTTCTGGTTTACTATAGACACATTCACAAGGACTTCTAAGCTCCAGTGTTTTTGGGTTGGAATACTCGGAATTTAAAAACAAACAACTATTCCTATTGAAAACACCTACAACTCTTCCTGTTTACAAAAAGACAGTATAGTATTTATTTGTTATATTAGTTTTGTGAAGAGTATGACTTGTGTGAGTACTTGGATAGAGAAAATACAGTTAGAAATATTTACAAAAGTCTGTATTTCTTAAGTCTTTAATTTATTCAACCTCTGCCCAATATTGATTATGACAAGAGGATATCACAAAAGATGAATTAATTCTCTTCAGAATTGAGTCAGGAACAAGAGAAAAATTATAGATTTTCTCAAATAGATTATGACAGGTAATCAAAATGGTGACAAATTGCTGTCTGTAGATGTAGTCAGGCAGTTGGACTAGACGTTTCTGATAAAAATTGGAGCATACTGGTCAAATACCAATTCTTAAATGGCTATCATTAATTGGTAAGAGCATTAATGCCAGCACTACAGGTGTCTACTAAGGCACTTGCCCTTCCCCCTCTTCTCCACCCCCAATGGAATACAATTTGCTCGTCAGTATTTTGTAGCAAACCTCAAAGTGATAGCATGACATGATCATTTATCAAATGGAGACTGCCCAGAAGAGTGTCTGGTCCCTTTAGTACAGCTTATTGAAAGGCTGGGAAGTGAAAGCACTTTATTAGAGACAGGAAGGCAATGAACAACTAGAGCGTATCAAAAGGGTAATCATATTTCAGCACAGGATTAGTGTGCTCTTAGATAAACACACACTGGAGTAAGCATGTTCTGGGTCATTTATCAAGTAAGTAACAGCTTAAAAAAAGATCTACAGGACTCTTTGTACACATTCATCAAAGATAAACTGTATACATTATATTTTAGTAATAGACAAGTTTGTGTTGCAAAACTATTACTGGAAAAAATTCTTCCTAGTAAAATCTAGAACACATTACAGAGTTCAGTGACAATGCCTGAATGTTCAGGTAAGAATAAATAAATACACTTGTTAAATGATATTTCTTTTTTAATAGCCCTAGCCTAAAGTATTTTTCCCCTAATTGTTGTGTTTGTGACTGTTAGCACCGAAACTGTTATGATACATGCTGATCTGATACATATTGCTGTTCTGATACATGCTGACTAAGATTTGCTGTGTAATATTATGAGATTTATCAACACTTCTTCCAGTGGACTGGTCCTCAGTTTCTTGCATTGTTTTATCAGTCTTGCTCCTCACAGAACTGATTTTGCTCTCTGTTTTTCAGAAAAGACTTTATCATCACTGGGTAACAATAGATGATATCAATAGACAAAAAATGACATGGTTTGGAGGTGTGAGGCTGTGCTGCCACCTCCTCTTCCATATGATTTTTCTAAACACTTGTTGTATAACCCATAGAATATTCCCAGGAGGATTTTCTACCAAGGGAGTAGGGCCTGCAAAACCAGAATTCTCCTTGTTTGCAGTACCCAGGTGATTTTTCTAAATTTGAAGGATTTAAGTGATACCTGTGTTGTTTGATGCTTCATTATTGGCATCAAGCTACAAAATTCTACAGACTGTGCAGTTTAGAATCTGTCACATCATGATTAGTAGATTTTTTTTTCAGATTATTACAACCATAGAATATAAACTCTCCTCCTTCAGTCATATGGATTGCTCTGAATCCCTCCTTAAGCTTTTCATACGCAGAAGGAAGCCCATTAAGGATGACAGTTAAGTGCAATTTTGAGGCAAAAGTATTTCAGAAAGTAGTAGAGTAGAAAGGACCAAGCTGCTAAGCTTTGCATCCTTTTAACTTGAATTTATTGTATTTAAAAGACAGAAGAAATTTTATCTAGGTCATACTGCCCTTGAGTAACCAGACAGAACCCAGATGGAGAAAGGTATATTTCAAAAATTTCACTATTTGGGCCAATATTGTAACCGACCACACTCAGTTCGGGGGGGGGTAATTACTCTTTCTTCTGTAAAGTACAGGTTTACATAGAAATAAAGAGCAAGACAGTCTACTGTGGTTTGCACAATTTTTGCTTTTTTTAGTCTGTTCTTTCTCTGTAAAGTATTTATTCTTCCACAGATTTTTCAAAATACAATCAGACACTAATACTTTTGAGTGCTCTGTGGAACCATGGGGATACATTAGTAGACATTACATATCATAGCTTTTTTTTGGGCTGGTAATTCCTTAGCATTAGGTGCTCATGAGTGGGATTGCAGTGGTAATTTTCCATAGCTGGTATTACTGTGTTCATAATCATGCAGAGTTTTCCATTTTTCTGTGCAATTTTGACATATTCAGGGAATGCTATACACCACTGTACGTGAAAATGCACATTCTTAACATGCATATTAATACATGAATAGTCTCATTGAAGTTATTTCTATGTGCAGGATTTAGGCCTGACAGAACAAATAGCATTACTGTTGAAGCTTACTCTGGAGAGGGAAAAATAATGACAATGTTCTCTTCTTTTATCAATTGCAGGATTTGGAGGTTGTATTAAACAAATGGACAAAGCTGCGCAGAATGGAACTTGCAGGAAACCCCATCTGCAACAAGCCTAAGTACAGGGACAGGATTGTAGTACAGTCACAAACTTTAGGTAAAACAATAGCCATCCCCAAAACCCATCCGTAACCCTCCCTGTTTTAGAACATAACTGATATATTAATCATTCTTGAATTGCACTATGCATGTAAATACAATTACTGCCATAGATATTGAGGTCAAATTATAATAGTTTTATTTATGTACAGATAATGTAGCTAAGCCTGCTTCTGTAATCAACTGCACAAACCATGATGCTTAGCTTTTGCTATTAGAAGTAATAACTCATTTTATAATAGGTGATTGGTGAGATTGCTCCTCAAGTTGTGCCAGGGCAGGTTTAGCTGGGCCACTGATGAACATTTCTTCTCTGAAAGGGTTGTCAACTACAGGAACAGGCTGCCCAGCAAAGTGGTTGTGTCACCATCCCTGGAGGTGTTTAAAAAATGTGTAAATGGTACATGGTTTACTGGTGGACTTGTCAGTGCTAGGTTACAGTTGGACTTGATGATCTGAAGTGTCTTTTCCAACCTAAACTTTCTATTCTATTATGCTATTATAATAGTATTCTATTATCATAAGATTCTATTATGCTATAGCAATAAGACTTTTTTGTGTTCATATTCCAGTCATTGTGAAAATGATTCTCAAAGATAAGTCTAGTCTTCTCCCTTATCAACCTGTAGCAGTTGCTTACGTGTTTTATTTCTACAGTTACAGTTGTACAGGCTGTACCTTACCATGTTTGAATTTGTTATATAACTTTTGTCCTCAAAAGCAATCTACACTTGTGATGAATGTATTTATTAACCTTACTGTGATGCAGTTACATTATTTTGAGATAATTTTAGCATAAAGGAAGTAATTTAGTCTTCATGATGCAGAAGTATTCATGCTGCAGAAAAAAGTAAAACCTATCTGCTCATTTTTTACTTTTTGGGATAAAGGTGGCAATTACCTTAGGAGTTGTAATTACAGACCCTGTTTTTCTTTTTTCCTGAGAGTACAAAATATTGGCCCTTAAGGAAAAGCAAAAGCTTATCTGCACAGTTTAACTAACAGTGCCTTAGGACAGTTCTAACACAACATAAATTTGTGGCCAAATGAGGTATTTCATTTGGTCCGACGTGAAAATGCAGATGCAACCAAGGAAACATAGAGCATAAACACCCACCTAACTGAGTAAAGTTAACCTCAAAGAGCCAAATCTCTGTTTGTCTTCATGATCAGTAGGATCCCTTGATTGCCAAGACATGCAGTTTCTCTCTCTTAACCCGAATTTCTGCATCTATATTTATCTTGTGTAAGAGCATAGCATAAAATGTGATGCATGCTAACAGAATGTGAAATGTATATATTTCCCTTGGAAGTTATAAAAATAATAGATGTTCTCTTTTGTAATTCAGACATGTCAACTTACTCTTGCACGTTGAATATCAGTATCAAGCTTTACTGGGTATTTCTTTTTACCAAAAGACTAAAAGCAGCAAAAAAGATTTGAAGAGAGCAAATACAGAAGGAGTACACATTGCATACAGCTTTGTACAGCCTTTTAGTTAACTCTGGGTATCACAGGAAGTGTTCTCTTCTCTTTGACAGAATCCCTTGATGGGAAAGAAATTAAAGAAATGGAAAGACAGTTCCTAATGAATTGGAAAGCCTCCAAAGCTTCCAGGAAAACAAACAAAGAAAGAATGACAAATGAGCATGCAGCCCATCTACATTTATGTAAGCAAACTAATCAATTACTTCATGCTTACTTGTAACATTATAGCAAAAATAAAATAGCAACTAACAGTAAAGATACTAAGAATAAGACTTGTACTGCTGGTAAGACCAAACACAGGAAAAGAAACTGAACTTTCTCATTAAAAACTTTAATTTTAGCAGTAATTTATATGGCTTTTTTTCTTTCCATCCCAATCTCCCAGAATTATGGAAAAGAGTAGCTACATTTTGAATGTTTGTAATTACTTCTGATTACTTTCCATAGTAAAATAAATAATAAATAAAAGCAAAATTGTTGGGCATTCTAGAATAAATATGCATGAAATACATCAGACTTTTAAAATGTATTTGTTGGTAATTATTTGATCTGTGTAGATTTTCAGTCCTTCTAAAGGCTTTCCCAAGATACATGTCTAGCAGCAGTAAAAGTTTTAAACTTGGAAAGATTAAAAAAAAAGAAAACCCTCTTGAAGGAAAAAAGCCTTAAAACTATAAGAAAAATCAACATGTTCTTGAGGTGGGAAACAAATTAGTCTTGAAACTCAAGCAAAACCTGAAATAAACTTTGATTATTCTTTTTTTATTCAAAACATGGGGGTTGTTGTTGTTACAGAGCTGACTATAGATTAAAACCTTGCCAGCATGTCTTGCCATCTTGCAGGGTTTGGAAGTAGACATTAGACTTCAAATTACTCAAAATGGTTTGAGTGACTGTATTTATCAAATAAAACTGGTGGAAGTTACACTATTGCTTTCAAAGGATTAACTGATATGTAGCTTAAGGGAGAGAGCATGTTCTTTATAACCACACTATTTATTAATTACTAATGCATACTAATTATTAATTCATGAAATCTCATGAAGACCAGTTAGTTGTTTCTGAAGACATGAAGTAAAAAAGCACTCAGCCTGTCAGCCTCAAGCCCAATAAAGTTGCAGTTTATTTAGTGTTTGGAAACCGTATGTGAATGGCAACAATTCTGAAAGTAATGTTCTGTCTTCTGAATAACTGCTGGTATAAGGAGGTGCTATGTAATTGAATTTCCTCCCTTTCAAATAACTGTACCTGAATGGGAATACCTGCTTTAGTATTCCCTTTCATCAGTGTTGGCAGCACTTTCCATAATTTCATACAAAGTTTTCTATTCTCAATTATCAAATTTGAGGCATAACCCTAAGGCTTATTATACTGTTTTCTTTAACAAGATATATTGGAACCTGTGATCAATCATACTGAATATTAAAACAGATAAGTTTTGACTTGGGATATTGAATTAATCCTTGTTTGTTTGTTTTCTGCAGCTGACTTGGAAACACTTTATCCTGTTCTTCCCTGTCAGTACAGTCACCCTGTGAAAGGAAACCCAGATTTTTTAGTTTCGTCTGAGATGCAGAAAGCTATAAGAAAACCTCTGCCAAGAATTCTGGGGAAAAAAATAAGTGAAACAAAAACTTAGATATGTTCCTCAACTATCTTTCTCTTAGTTCCATTGGTTATTGCTTGTACAGCTCTTACTGAGTCATTTGGAAAACGAGGACATGAAGGTAGAATTTAATATGAAAGAAGTTTTCTGTTTTGTTTTGTTTTTTTAACCATGTTATATTTTTTATATTTCTTTCTTCAAAACACAGGATAATAGATTTCAATTTCTGGTTATAAATCAATAGACTAGCTAACAGCAATAACTTCTGTGTTACTAGTTTCTCTCATATGCATTTGATTGTAATCTTCCACAAAGATAAAATAATATCCAAGTTAATTCTTGGAAGTACAGTCACTGTCAACAACATTGGCAAAGGCTGATCCCATGCACACAGTAATATGCAGAAGGAGAAATAATCAGTTTTCATTATTCTACCTTACTTCTAACAGGCATGTTCCAGTGTAGTATATACTTGATTAGCATTTTCCTGTAGCATCAGCTCAAGACCATCAAGATAATCTAGAAGGAAAATCTGTGTGTCCCTTAAAGACATTTAGACATTAGATTAAATTAAATAGTTTTTGAGTTTAGCATATGTATTTCTTACTCACTTAAGCAGCTTTGTGAACTCTAGTCCAGCTGTTTGTGGAAATAAGATCTGCTCACAGGGATTTGCAGTTTGGGACCTACAGTTTTTTCAGTTTTACCTGTAGTAATAGCTTAGTTCAGTATTGGGGACCTAATATTACTCCCTCCAGATTTTTAATGCTACTTTTAACATCACTGTTTTATTATTTACCAGCTGGGCTGGCTCACAAAAAATTCATCATTTATGCAATGCTGCAGGTAAATAAATTCAACTGACACAAGAATTCTTTGGTAATGAAATTACTAAAGGTAGTGTTTTATTTTACATTCAAATCAGAATTTATTAGTAACTGAGCAGCATTTAATACAATTTTTTCTTGACAACTTACCACTTTCAATTCCATTAGTTTTGTTCTTACTGATTCCTGTTCTGATTAAAAATAGCTGCCTTTCTCTTTAAAAAGGGAAGAAAAATTACAAATCACAGAGCTTCTCTCCTCCAAAGTATCATTTTTGTCCTTCATATCACAATGGATGTATTCTGGCCTAAGAGGAAACTGAAATCATCCTATATTTGCCTGTTCTTTTTTTTCTTCTTTTTGCTGCTGCAGTGGAGAAGTTTGAAAACAAGAACTGAAGGAATAATGCACTATTTATCACAAAATAGTACTACTACACAATTATTTTCCAGTGAATAGCCCAGGCTTGTGAAACGAGTAGACGAGTGCAGGCTAGTATTCATGCCATGCAAACATGCATTTCTTTTAATTCCATTGCCAAATGAGTTTGTCCACATGCTCAGTGTTCTGTCAGCTTGTGTTGCATCTTTATTAGCGTTCTGTCTTTTGGGCCAGCAGAATAAAACTACGCTTTTTCTTTACAAGTAGTGACAATGAAGGGTGGAACAAGTGTCTACAGCACCTCCCAGAAAGATGTTTTCTTCAGTGAGAGAACTTCTGCTATCTCCTTTGAGATAATGAATTCTGATTCTACACTACTATATTTAAAAGCTGACCAATTGTTGAGCTGGTTTGCTTGACAAAAATTTTCCCAGTATTAAGAAGCTGGACTACAATCCTGGCCCTTTGTAAATCCCTTTAAATCCCTTTTGATCCTAGAAAGGCAAAGATTGCATCTCCCATACTTGATCGAAACTTAATGTCTATATTTATATAAATGCACATTTGCAAATTAAACTATTTGAGTGATTTTATTTTGTTTTGTTTTTATTATTAGTCTAGAAGGTTTGACTCTGAATCACATAAAGGTTAGAATAAACTACAGTCAGATGACATGCATTTAATAATTTCAAAATCTTGGAAGTGGGACTTTTATCTCGGATGCTGAAGATTGCTGTTCATTAATTACAATTTCATGTGTAATCACTGATCTTAAGACCTATTCTAATTTTGTTATTAGTGGAACTCCACAGAAACCAGAGTCTTGGGAATTACCTAAAGGTTGGTGAATTCTTTAAAATGTTCTTTTTGGGGGTAAAAAAAAACCACCTCAAAATACATAAATATTCATTCTCAGAGTATACGCAAATACAAAATAATGAGAAATCACAGTATTCCCTTGCCAGCTCCAGTAATTAGGGATATGCATAAATGTGCCCACATGTAAAACGAGGAACTGAACAAATACTTGTATTGTTTAATGAAATTCAGTATTGGACCAAAGAAATTAGTGAATTTGAATCCTAACCTTTCTGTTAGTCAAATAAATTATTCCAACAGATGTTTCCTCTTTCCTTATACATGCTAGGTGATGTTTGACCTTGGCAACTGAAAAACAGGCATTAAATGCCTTTTTAACCTACATCTAAGATCCACTGAGGATTACATACAGCTTGAACAATGAAACAAAGCCAGTTATTACTAGATTACTGAAATATGTCATTAATCTTTCTTTCTGGGTGATATAAAAACAATAGCAAATTTATATTGGATTTTAAGTTAGTTTTGAACATTTAGAGAGAATTATGGATATTGGCAGGAAGTAATTAAAAGAAAACAAATTTCTTAACTATTTTAAAGATACCTAATACCTTCCAATGGGATGCATGAATATGAATTTTCCCTAAATAGAGAAGTTGTTGAAATTTCAATGTTGTAAACTTAACCTGTAACCAGCAGTTTCTGCCCACATTTCCTTACTCATGGAATTAAGTATCATAGTAGGTATTCATAGCAATATTGTAGCAGTTCAGAATTTGGTGGGAAAGTCACCTTTTGTCTCTCCAGTATATGTGATGTGATTAGCAATATGTTTATATCTTTAAATAATGCAGTCAGCATATAGTAAGTACACTGGATTGTGCCAACTAATCATAAGCCACTCTCTGAGCCACCATACACATCCTGTGCAGCTCAAGTTGTAGCTCAAAGGGAAGGAACCTGCAGTGAGCAGTGTTACTTCTTCCTCTTCTTAGCTCTTTTAGCAGGTGACTCTACCAGCATTGTAGGTAGAGGTGATTTGCCTTGAGCAGAGGTGATTTGTGTGGTCTGAATCTTTATAGAGTAATGTATATCTGATAACAGGTAAGAAAGTGTTCTGCATGTATATTGGGCTTTTGTTTATATGAATCTAACTGGCATTACAATTACATGAATCCCTGGAAGGGAACTGGCAAATAAAAAACAGACTAGGGACAACGTAGGCTCCCTCAGGAAGCTCTCGAGAGAACTGGCTACCCTGGATTTGGAGAAGGCTGAGGTTCTGAGTGACTTCTTTGCCTCGGTCTTCACTGGCAAAGGCTCTGACCGCACTACCCAAGTCTTGGAAGGCAGACGCAGGGACAGTGAGAATGAAGACCTTGGGCCCACTGTAGGAGAGGAACTGGTTCAAGACAATCTTAAAAATCTGACTTGCACAAGTCCATGGGACCTGATGAAATCCGTCCATGGGTCCTGAAGGAGCTGGTGAATGAAGTTGCTAAGCCACTGTCCATCATATTTGAAAAATCATGGCAGTCAGATGAAGTTC